TCCCAAAGTTTGTCAACCATGACCAGAATAATATCTGAAAAATAAACGACGCACCGAATTTCGGCTCACAAACTTAACATGAAATTATGAACCCTTGGACCGTTTGTTTTTAATCGTATGGACCAAAAAGCCGAGCGAAATATGGGTGTTTCGCGAGATTTCTTCAAAATTCGGCAAATGGTTAAAACTTCAAAGAGACGTGCCTAAAGAGAATTCCTTGCCCCACCGAAAGAGATTTCATTTAGTTTTTGTAGTGTCAACCTCAGCCGATAACTGCCGAAATTGGATGAAATTCGGGCAAATTTCAGTGCTCCAAGGAGGAATCATATTGTGCATCTAGCCTAGTTTTTTTTTAATCTAGGTTTCTAAAGCCTAAGAGAATTTTTTGGGATTTTTTATGATTTTTTTAAAAAACTTTTAGAGGTTTTTTATAACTTTCTAGAAGATTTGAGATTTTTACTATTTTTTTAAAGATTTCTTAACTAATTTCTAACTGAATTTCTAAGAGAGATCAAGGGGGTTTATATAGGATTGGTTTCTAGGCATCTTGTGGAGAATATTTCCCAAATTTTTAATGTTTTACATGTAAAAACATTTCTAAGAACCAACTTAGAGTGCTTTAGAATTCTCCAGAAGGTTCTATAAAATTTTGGCTGAAAATGTGCACGACTCGTGCTTGTCGCGTAGTATTAAATGGTCATTTTTTGGAAGAATTTTGCTCATGTCATAACTTTCAAACCATAAGTCAAATTCAAGCGATTTTTAGACCGTTGGAAGGCATGCGACTTCATGTAGCATTAAATGGCCATTTTTTTTAACAATTTTTCCCAAGCCATAACTTTGAAACCATAAGTCAAATTTACTTGATTCTTAAACTGTTGGAAAGCTTGCGACTTCTTTTATAATTTGAAACCAAATTTGTCAAATTTGAGTTACTTTTGAGGGATCTACAAAGCTAAAGCTTCAGGGTCTTAGTTTTAGATTTTTGGAGAACAATTTTCTAGGTTTATAAAGCTTTGGGGTGTCCAAAGTGACTACTTGAGAGTATTAAGATATATTTTAAGTGACTTTGGGTCAATTTTGATGGGTCGTAAAAATTTTGATGGGTCGTAATTCACTATGCTTCACAAGGCTAAATAAATTCCTTAGGACTTAGAACCAAGGCTTCGGGGAATCCTATTGATCGCCAGGGGCGTGGTGAGAGTATGATTGTTCTTTTTCTTTAATAAAAATGCTACCTTCTTTTTTTCTTTTTTTCTTTTTTTCTTTTTTTTCTTTTTTCAGAGTCTAAAGGTGGCACGTTTCAAACACTAATTAGTATTTTGAGTATTTCTTTTTAAGTGTAAGGCTATCTGATGTTTTGAACACTAGACCAACCTAGAAAAGCAATACCCTAAATTTTAGTACGATCTGATTTCTAGAAATATCCAAGGTTTAAAAAATCGGTGACCCGATCCAGAATCGGGAATCGTCGAAGACGCTCCAGATTAGGCCAAAAAACGGGATTTTCGGGCGGTTCGAAATAGTAGAATCGTTGATTTTTTTTGTGGAACCTCTGTTTCCGATGATTCTTCACCAAGTCCGACCGATTCTTTACCGAGTAAATCGAAAAAAAAAGGATGAACGGTTTTTTTCTTGAATTATTTTTTTAAAAAAATTTGAAACAAAAATTATCGATTTCGTGGATTCTTCTGATATGATCCATCGATTCCCCCAATCTGACATGAGTATGGGTGTGATCGATTCGAGTCACATATCCGTTTTTCTAAACCTTATAAATATCTAATCGACCTAAGATGGCCCACCCGGCCTATCAGACAATCCCAACTTTAAAAATAATAATAAAGAAAATTCAATATTCAGTCTAATATTTGAAACATCTAACCAAAGGCAAAGTTGGAAGAAAAATTGGTCGGCATGACTTTGTTTGAATAACACATATTTATGGATCCCTCCGTAATTGCCATATTATTTATTGTGCAGATGTTATTTTTCCTTAGAATTTTGAAATAATTTGTTGAAGACATTTTTGGTTCAAACTTAAAGATCGCATATGATATCATAGATTTTCCACTAAATTTGTCTAAGATTCACCCTAAATTATCGGCCAGTCCACCCCCATTCTTTTGTCTACCTCATCGCCTTTCTGTTTCTTAAATCAAAAAGTTTGTCAACCATGACCAGAATTTCGGAGGAATTATTTAACAAATAATATCTGACGATGCACCAAATATCGGCTCGCAAACTATGTGTGAAATTACGCAATTTGGGTGTTTCGCGAGACTTCTTCAAATTTTGGCAAATGTTTAAAGTGACGTTCCTAAAGATGATTCCTTACCGACCCTAAAGATATTTCATTATAGTTACTGTAGTGTAAACCTCACACGATAACGGCCGAAAATTGATGAAATTCTGGCCAGGTTTCGGTGCTCCAACGAGGAATCATTTCGAGTGCAGCTCAAACACGGTTTGTGGGATCACTTGCCTTGAAAGTCTGAGTTGTATTGAGTTGGATACCAGCCCAAAAGACTAACATGTAAAGGAAAATGGTTTGATGGGGCTGCAGCGCTGTCAAAATGAGTAAAGCCTCACGTCATAACTCATCAAAAATTATAATCTAAGTGTTGAAAATCTGCTTAAATATTATGGTTATGAAAAAAAAATTAAAATTTCAAGTTTTAAGAATAGTATATATTATAACAAATCATCTAGACCATCGATTTTAATTTAGAAATAAGTGTTTACATATCCACAAGATTTGTACCATTTTTTTATTTTCAAATTTTATTGTCCTTATTGAAAATTGATTTTAGAGCCCTTATGAAGATTTCCCATGCCCAAAGTGCTTTTGGGATAAAAATTTGAGGTGAGGCTTTATTTTGTTTTCATAAGGCCTAGGCCTTATAGAATATAAATAATGAGCACATATAGTATTTGGGAACCATATAAAAATAATGAGCACATATAGTATTTGGGAACCATATAAAAATAATGAGCACACATAGTATTTGGGAACCATATAAAAATAATTTTTTTAAAACAAAAATTTTAAATTTTGAGTTTTGTGAGATTTAGATCTTAGCCTTTGTAAAAAACTGGACGATCTCTATTTTTTCCTTTTTTGTACATAGAAAGTTTAGTTTTGAAATTTTTTTGGCTGAAATTATTTTATGAGTTTTGAAAATTACATCTCCAAAATTTGAGATCCAAAAAATGTCCTACTTTCTCAGGGAGTAAATAGATAGTATGATCCCAGAGGATTATGAAATCTTTTGGCCATAAATCAATTTGCCCATATGCGTCTCAACGACTCATGTGGTGAATTTAAACTTTTTCCGAATCCTACCCTTTACTTTTACCAAAAGCAAGGCCCACCACTTTGGGTGGCTTCCACGCTCCCGGCATTGAATCATGGGCTTAACCGGTAAAAGTGACGATTTCCCATTTTAAGAACCAATCGATCGAAATCCAACGGCAAGAACCAACCCATCCATAACAAAGCCGTCCAAATGGACGGTTAGGACTCTTGGAGCGTCCATCGTGGCGTACCGTACGCCACCTCAATGACGGCCATAGAACGTGGGTCCATGAAATTCCAACTTGCGATGATAGGATCACATCGCGGTAGGACATCGTATGGATCATGTCATGCCACGTGGTAAGTTCTATTCCCCCACCGAATCCCATTTGACGCTGCCTTTGTTTTCGAAAATAACTGGATAACCTTCGATCTTTTTATAACGCCAGAATTGTCCTTATTGAGTGACGGAATATACTAATATACCCTGGGCCATGTGTTTGTTTCGGACGTCAGGAGGAAGTCTGGAAATCCTGGCCGTCCGTTTTCAGATATTGACCTAGGAAACTAAATTTCTATTTCGTCTGTGCAACTATGGTTTCCTCGTATGGAAAGGTTCAAAACTCCCCAACTTTTCCTATGTCGAAAAACTTGGGAGTCTTGAGAGAAAAGGAAGAAGTTGGAAACTTGTGGACCGGAAGTTTAATGTGAAAACTAGAGAAAACCAGAGAAATCTAGAGAAAGCTTAGGATAGAGCTTGGGCAAAGAGAGATTGAGCAGGGAAAGTGATCATGATGTTAGAGGAATTAAAAAAAGGATGAAGAAGGGTTAGGATTTTTTTCTTTTTTTTTTGAAAAATTGCTGCAGTTTTCTCTAAAACGTGGATAAACAGGGAAATGTGGGGCTCTATTTTTCCATGCTTTTCTCCATTCCCAAATAGGGAAAAAAATGTTGTAACTGAGAAAACATGTTCTTTTATTTTGATTTTCTCACTTACCAAACAAGGCCCTAGGTTCAATGGATCCATACATGAGGAGACACCATGGATTATTTCTCTTACGGCATCTCCATAGTCCATCCTAATGGATGTGATCTATTCTAAATTGACGGTATAAATGACTATTTCTCATATAAAGTAAAGAAAATTTGATCCAAAAGCACTACATTGCACACAAAATTTTCTATTTGATTTCATGTACCCCATCAAAGGCGCATAATCATAAGTCAAAATAATAGTGGATAAGAGGTGATATCTTAGATGTGGGTGGGGATAAACGTGGGAGCGTAATAAGGAAAGGTTAATGCGGTTTCCAAAATAAAAGGCCCAAATTTGGAATTGTGGGTGGGTCCTTTCACACATGGAACATGATGTTTAAATGCTTCTAAAAAATAGTAAAGTCAAATTCCTAAATATTTTAACCGTAATCCTAATTCCCACCTGCCTTGAACGAACCCAACACGATATCAAATCCACCCAAGTTATTGCCTCATGGCCCCGACAGTAAACCGCCACGGCCGGCTCTTAGCCGCGTTTTGGGTCACTTCCTCTCTCTAGCGCTTGTGTATCGAACAAGCAAGCCGTTGCCCCTTCTCTGTCTATATATACCCTTCTTAACCCCCTCTCTAAAGTTTTTCTCTGAGAAATCAAAACCATCTCTCTTTCTAAACTTCCTCTCTCTCTCTATTTATACTCTTCTCTCTCTAGTTTCTTCTCTCTTTGGGTTCTCTCTCTAGTTTCTTCTCTCTTTGGGTTCTCTCTCTAGTTTCTTCTTTCTCTGTGTCAATTTATCTCTCCTCTTTTTGCATGTATATCGACCAGGTGGAGGGGAAAGGAATTCGAATATGAGCAACATACCGAGCTCTCTTTGTGAAGTTTGCCTAAAGCTGTTCAAACTTGCAATCTCAGGAGCCGACCCTTGGCCTTTCTCTCTCTACCCCTTCGTCTTCCAATAACCAAGAGCCAATAATTCTCTCTCTAGATTTGATGTTCGACGCCTCGATCCAAGCCGCTATGGGTGGAGATAAGCACCACCACCACCTGCACCTCCACCTCCTAAGTTTCCATCTCCACCATCATGGGAAGAAAGAGGAATCTCTCTCTAGAACGATTCCGAAGGGTTATCTGGCTGTTATGGTGGGGGTGGGTGGTGAACAAGAGCGGTTTGTTATTCCCGTTGCATATTTTAACCACCCGTTATTTGTCCAGCTCCTTAAAGAGGCCGAAGATGAGTATGGGTTTGAACAAAAGGGAACCATAACAATACCATGCCATGTTGCTGAGTTCAGGTATGTTCAAGGCTTGATCGATAAGGAAATGGCGCCTCATACCCATCAGGTTGGGTGCTTTCGGGCTCTCAAGGCACGCTGATTCACTTATTCCTAAACATCTTGGGCTATGGTTTATCTGATGCTCTCTTGCTTTTGATGATCCGATCTTGATGATGACGACAATTGTATTCTGTAATGAATTTTCCCTGTTTGTTTTCTTCTCTTTTTGATAAATTTATTACGAATTGTAAAGGAGAGAGAATGAATGGATTTCAAGATTTTCTAGTCTTTAATGATATGTTCCATCTGCACTTTTTTTTTAAGCTTTTAATTTTATAATTAAAGATAAAAATATATTTTAAAAATATCACAAAGATTTTCAGTAATAAAATTACATTTTTCGACACTATTTAAAGGTAGGATCCAATTTGATTATTTAGAGCCTCTACGCTATCCAAACCTCACCCTTTTTTGTTTTTTTTTTTTTTTCTTTCTTCTTCTTTTTATTTTTCCTTTTTTTTTTTTTTTTTTAAAAATTGTTTAAGTTGTTTTAATGAACGGGTGCAAAATGACATACCCAAAAAACAAATTGCAAAATCACCAGGGAATTAAATTGGGTTCTCAGTCTGACCAATCAAGCGGAAGCATCAATCTCTCCCTCTCTTATTTTTTATTCTTAGATCCTTTTGGGTTTGTTAGAATGGGAGCAAGATGAGCAGGGCATTAAATTGGGTGGTCGGCATGGCCAATCAATGAGGAGCAAGCAGCACGGGTCAGGAAATGACAGGCTGATGGTTAGTGAGACAGAGATATTAGACCTGGCTTGTGTACTAAGGCCCACCTTGTTGGCTACCCCATAATCGTGCTCCTATTTCTCTCTCCTCATACGACTGACCCCCTCTCTCTACTGTTGTTTATTTCTCTCTCATACAGATTGACCCTCTCTCTCTACTGTTTTACTCTCTTTTTTTTGAGATTAATATTCCCCGTATTTATTCATGTTCATCATCATTTTACCTTTTTAGTTTATTTTTTTTCAATTAGGTGGGCTACATAAATCCTTATACTCCTCTCTCTATTATCAGGGTTATTTTACTCTCTCCTCTTTTCTTCTCTCTTGAAGGTCCGGCAGGACCACTGAAATTAAGCACCTATTTATCAATGTAACTTCCCTCTCTATCGCTTGCTAGCATCTATTGCGGTTGCTCTCTCTCTCTCTTTACACGTTTTATTCGAGAAGCATTCAATTAATGAGAAAACGGCATAACGATGGGGAATAAGTGTGGGTGGCGCGTCATTATATACAAGGCACCACGGCTCAAAACCCCCGGACTTATAGGAGGATGAACCGTTCAGTTGCACTGGCAACAAACTTGTTCTTTAAGAAAGAAAAGGGTCAAAGGACAAAGAAAAGGGTAAAAGGACAAGTTTAAAACACCAGAGAGAGACGAGATGAAAAATGAAAGATAAAATAGCAAAAAAATCCGTGAGAAGGGCTACCGGCTTTCGCATCCTGTGCATTGATTGGCGGATGCTTCTTTGTGACATCAGCAGATGCTTTCCAACTGCTGTCCAGAGATGGATTAAATCCAGAATTTCTCCCTATTCTAATTTTGGGTGAAGTGAGTATAAGGATGAGGCCCTCAACATCCGTAGACGTGCCTATAAAATAGTATGTAAAGATTATTTTTCACCAGCAAAAATATATTTGTGACCCCATTATAGAGTGATTGCCTTTGGAAATTTATTTTTATTTTTAATTTAAAAATTAAGGAATTGTATACAATGATATTGTTGAAAAATTTGAGGGAAGAGAAGGACCCACTCCTAGGACTAGAGATAGTCTCACGATTGCAAATATCAGGCTTTTACTAGAACCGTGAGAACACCCTACTCCAACGTTCGGCGTCGTCCTGAAATCCGGCTTTGTCCTGAAATATCTGAAAAAACATGACCCTATGATTTTGGGAAGTGGGTGATTACGTTCTATAACTCTGGGAAGTGGGTGGTTACTTTCTAGCCGTTAGATAACTGCACTTTCTCTATCTATGAAGTCTCCATTTTTTAGTGATAAGCATTAAATTATAAGAGAGAGAAATATTGCACGTTTAAAAGCCCCATGGCCACGCAACCGTATCAATATCTCTCACTTGGCCATGAGGGCCAGGTATATTAAAATATCATAAAGTCTTTACCACTTAATGAATTTAATATTTATGTGCATATTTTTGTCATGAGGCTTTCATGCAAGTACGGTTATATATCTCATAACAAAAAATATCCAAAGTTATTGCATGGTTTTTCACGCTAATGCAGTTTTTCCTCTCATGACCAAGACATCAAAAAATATCCCATTTGGGAGTTCCTGACTTAAACATTTTTAAGTCCCATCAAAGCTACATGCTTTGATAATATTTTTGCACTCAATCCCTTTGTTAAAGGATCTGCATTCATAACTGAAGATGATAAATAACTTACAGTTATTTCATTCTTTCCAATAATATCATAAGTATAATGATAATCAATTTCAATGTGCTTACCTTTGGAACTATAAGCTCCATTTCTAATTGATAAAATAGCAGTCTGATTATCACAAAAATATTTAACATGTATATCGATTATATCCAACTTCAAATCATTTATAAAACATTTAATTAAAACGGCATAACTTGTAGCAATGTTATAAGCAATATACTCGGCTTCCATAGTATACCGAGCTACATAACCTTATTTCTTACTAGACCAAGAAACACATCCACCTCCAAAGAGAAATACAATTCCTGAGGTTGATTTTCTATCATCTGGATCTCCTGCAAAATTTGCATCAGAGTACCCAGTAACCTCTAAGTTGTCAGCTTGAAAGCACAACTTGTAATTTTTAGTTTTCTGAATATATCTGAGTATCATTTTTATAGCTTTCCAATGAGTCATCTTAGGATTACTCTGAAATCTACATACAAGACCATATGCATGACTCAAATCAGATTTTGTACACAATATGACATCATTTATGTATCCTACAGCTTGAGCATATGGAATTCTTTCCATTTCAGTTTTGGACACATTTTTTTTTTATAATTTCAAGCCTTTACAAATATATGTATCAACGGGCTTGCAATTTTCTATCTTAAATATCTTTAAAACACTTTCTAAATAATTTTCTTGAAATAAACATAGAAGTCTTGAACTTCTATCTCTTGTAATCTTAATGCCCAATATATATAAGGCTTCTCCCATATCTTTCATCTCAAAATGGGAACTTAGCGATGATTTGGTATAGTTAATCATGCCAATATCATTACTAGCTATCAAAATATCATCCACATATAGTAACAATATAACAAAATTGCTCACACTATTCTAGACATATATACACAATGGTCTAACCTATTGGCTATATAATCAATTTCAGTGATTGCATTATGAAAAGTAAAGTACCATTGCCTAGAAGACTGTTTTAGACCATACAAAGATTTCTTAAGTTTATATACTTTGTCTTCATGGCCTTTAATTACATATCCTTCTGATTGTTGTATATATATATCTTCTTTTAATTCTCCATTTAAGAAAGTTGTTTTGACATCCATCTGAAATAATTCTAGATCATAATATGCAACTAATGTAAGGATGATCCTAATAGATGAACCTTTGGCTACTAGAGAATAAGTTTCTATATAATCTATGCCCTCCCTTTGGGTAAATCTTTTAGCTACCAACCTAGCTTTATATTTATCAATTGATCCATTTGCATTAAGATTTTACTTTAAGACCCATTTGCAACCGATGGCTTTTCTATCTTTAGGGAGGTCAACCAACTCCAAGACTTGATTTCTTTTAATAGAATCAAGTCCATCATCCATGACTTGAGTACACTCTGTTGAGTCATATGAGCTAATAGCTTCACTGTAGCTTCGAGGTTCATCTATTGTATCCTCACTCATTAAAACGTAATTATCTTCATTCATAAATACATAAAATTCTTCTAAAGTCGTAGGTGGGGCTCTAGTTCTTTTAGGATTATCTGGTATACTTGATTCAATTAAATCATTCTCAACAAATTTAGAGGGAGTATGAGAAACAGGGTCTTCCAAACCTTTATCTTTATCAATTTTATGTAAGTCAATAGGCTTATTTACAATATTTTCATCATCTATACTTTGTAATTTATCTCTATTTTATAGTGGTATAAGCACATGTGCCCAAGAACCCCAAACTGTCAAGATAGGAAGGTTAGGTTTCCTACATGTCCATAATTCATTTGAGGTCAAGTCTATAGATTTAGTTGTAACACGATTAATGATATATATTGCAGTATTGAGAGCCTCACCTAAAAAATGAGGTGATAAATTTGAATAGCTCATCATGGACCTAACCATGTCCATTAGAGTTTTATTTCTCCTTTCAGCTACACCATTTTGTTGTGGTGTATATGGCATAGTTGTTTAATGAATTATACCATGCTCCTTACAAAATTCAAAAAATAAGGCGGAACAATATTCACCTCCCCTATCTGTTCGAAGAATTTTAATATATCTACCTAACTAATTTTTTACCTCAGCTTTATATTCTTTAAATGTTTCTAATGTATCTGATTTCTTACAAATTAAATATACATATCCATAACGTGAATAATCATCTATAAATGTTATGAAATATTCCATACCTCTATGTGTTTTCACATTTAATGGCTACATATATCAGAGTGAACAATACTTAGTAGTTCACTAGACCTTTTTCCTTTAAGGAAAGGCTTCTTAGTTAATTTACTAGAAATACATGGCTCGTATGTTTTGAACACAATTTTTTCTAAATTGGGGAGCAAGCTTCTCTTAACCATTTGATTCATTTTGTCATTATTTATATGTCATAATCTTAAGTACCATAAATATGAATCATCCATATACATAAAAATCATCAAAAGAAGCATCAATATAACCAGAAAATAATGAACTTTCATTAATATTCAGTCAGTACAAATTGTCAACTTTAGTACTAGACACCAAAGCTCTAGAATGCTTCCCAATGGTAACCCGACCAGACCTGAACCTTATTTCATAACCCTTGTCGTCTAGCTTAAGGACAAAAATCAAATTGCGCCTCATATTAGGCGTATACAATGTATCAGTCAATAAGAGATTTGTTCCTCTTGGTAAATATAGCTTGAAAGTACCAACACCTAGTACATCGTAATATGTATCATTTCTCATATAAATTTGCTGGTTATTGGCTGCAATCTCTTCCAATTCTGTGAATCTGTCCTTAGTCCTCAAGACATGTCGAGTGGAGGCTG